GCCGTTTGAAATGAATAAACTAAAAAAAAAAAAAAAGACCGTACCCTTTTATGTAATGATATTACTTTGAATTTATATTAGTTCACACAAACACTCCATCCATGCTTTTGTTCGGGCCCTCCGGTCCAGTTTAAGAACCATTGTGGCCCTCGAGTCAAAAAGTTTGCCCACCCCTGGACTAGAACCATTAGTGCCAAAAAGAGGGCATGAAGCAACAACTGTGTCCCGTAGACAGGCTTTAAGACGCAGCATGGGGGAACTGCATAAGAAACAGCAAGAGTTATACAGCAATATCATTAACGTGAATTAAAAACACAAGCAGAAACACCACATTACTGTGGACACATCACACTCACACCATATATTCAGACTAATTTGGGACACAGGGCCTTGGGGAGCAGGGAGTGGTGAGTGGTACTGAGGATGGGGGATGACTGGCAGAAGAATAAAAACCAAGTGGCTTCATGGAGATGGATGAAGAAATGGTATCATAAATTTGGGAGAGTAATTTAAGATCTTGATTTTTTTCCTGCCTCTTCTAGTTTAATGAATATGCTTTTCCAGGACCGAGGTAAACCCTCACCTCCCACATTACACCTAGGACATCTGGCTTCAGGCTCCCTAAGGCAAGGACTGTGTCAAATACAAGATCATCCCCCTCACTGCCAGTGTGACCTAAGGCCCATCCAATAAGGTAGCCTCCATCCTCTCCAATGAATACATTTGAACAGGAGGCACAGGACAGCCTAAGGCCCCACAACTACATTTCCCAGAGATCCCTGTGTGACTCCAGGGAGGGGCTGTTTCCCAAAACTTCCTGTACTGACCTCAAGTGGGAGGAGTAAAGTCAGTCTAGTTCCTGGTGTGGGTCCTAGTTGAACTGGGTAAGTGACTCTTTTTAGCTTTGAAATGGGGGCTTAATCCTACCTAAAATGTGAGTCCAGGAGGCCAGATACTACAGTGCGCTTGAATTCCAAGTCCAGAGGTTGTTCAGAAGGTAGGTGACACCTTCTTAGAATCCTTATGCTGTAAGGACTGTACATGTGAAGATAATGGACCCTTGATTCACACTGTCTGTGCCCACAGCAGCACCTGCTGGGCCCTTTTTTGGTAACCTGCTCTTTCCCTGCCCCAGGGCCCTCATTTTAGTTTCTCACAAAACGGCCGACCCCAGCTTCTCTCACTCAAAAATAGTAACAACTTCCTGTCAATTATCTAATGTACCCTGCCCAGAGACTTATTTGTTGGCCTTTTATGGGTTTTAAAAGTTCAGAGCCAACTTTAAAAAACATGCAGATATCACCTGCACATCTGAGTTTGTCTGAGTTTCTGCTTTTCCTTAGGAGTGGGAAAAACAAAATCAAAAAACAAAAACCCACTGGAAACTCCCCTGTTACAGCTGATCTCCACGCATGGGACTCTCTGGGCCACCTCACAGGCTCTCAGAACACCAAGCAGAGTTGAAGGAGGGTCTGTGGGTGAGGCTTGCCCGACAACCTCTTTCCCATCCGGAAAATCACTGGGCTGGCCACTTGCGCCTGGGACTGAACTAGGTTGTAGTGTCCTTACAGTGGGTCTCAGAGCCGAAATAAAAAGAAAGGGAAGGGAAGAAAGGGCAGGAAGAGGAGGGGAGGGAGAAGGGAAACGGAGAGGAAAAGAAAATAACAGCACAGGCAAGAAAAGCCACTCAGAAACACTCCTTAAAATTCTTCTAATCAACTCAGCAATTCCATTCCTTGGTATAAACACAAAATCATTGAAAACACATACTGTACTGAAAAATGTACTTGAACACATTCACAGCGGCACTATTCACAACAGTCAAAGGTGGAAACAAGCCAGATGCTCATCAAGGAAGGAAGAGACAAAGGAAAATAGGGAGTCCATACCGTGGAACATTACTCAGTCATAAAAGGGAATGAAGTATTGACATGTGTCACACAATAAGTGAACCTTAGAAACGTTATGCTAAATGAAAGGAGGCAGCCACAAAATGTGCCATGTTATATGATTACGTTTTTATGAAATATCCGGAATAGATAAATCCCCAGAGACCGAACGTAGAGTGGTGGCTGCCAGGGGCTGGAGGGAATGGGGAGTAACTGCTCAGTGGGTATGGGGTTACATTTCCTGCTAATGAGATATTTGGAAACTAGATAGAAGTGGTGATTGCACAAAACTGTGAATGTACCAAATGGTACATCTGTTCACTTTAACAGGGTTAGTTTTATATTATGTGACCTTCACATCAGATATTTTAAAAAGTCTATTCAGAAATGCCAGGAATCCCGGGAGTGGGGTTGACAATTTCACCCCAGTCCAGAAGTGTACTGTGCGGCTTGTAGCCTTGGGGTGGCGGCAGCATTTCTCCTCCTTCCCCAGGTCCTCATTTCAGTTCCTCAAGCACAAAACAGGGCGTCCACTCCTCCCCTCAAAAGGAAAATTTTAAATTGTCAACTCTCTGTTGTCCAGAGACTTTTTGCTTGGCCTTTACCATCTTCAGCTGAGCAGCTGTTTCTGTGGACTGGCTCTCGGGCCTGCTCCCGGGACCTGCCTGACCTCTGCAGGCATTCACCCAGTGGGGGGGCTGAGAGGCAAGCTCAGTGCACCATGGCCTGTTGAACGATGGCCTCTGAGCAGGACTAGCCTAGCAACTTCCCTTTCCATCCAGAAAGTCAAACAGCTGGCCACTTGCCCATGGGAAGGGAGGTAGGTGATAGTGTCATTCCACTGAAATGCCAGCCTTCGCTGGGACAGAGAAAAGGAAAGGGATAGAAAAAGAAAACAAAACAAATACCCACAAAGAAAGTCACTCACTATCACTCCTCAAAATTCTATTCTGCACCAGAAATCTAGACAGTAGGTATATTTCAATCCATAATTGAACTTGTGGTGCCTATAGCCTTGAGGTACGACAGCACCATCTCATGGGTGAACTAGCTTTGGATTAATCTGTTTTTAATTTTTCCATTTTAGGTTCTTGCCTACAAATTTATTTGGGGAAAGACTAGGACTTTCTTTAAAAACAACACAAAACTGAAAACCACTGTTGTCCATGAAAGATGTAGAGATCCTAGAGACTGGGAACTGATCAGTAAGTTCTTCAGATCAACCTATTTTCCAAGGGTACATCAAAAAGGTAATTTGTAATTAAAGTACCATGTCACTAGGACAAATTACAGCAGTCAGTTCAATAAAGCAACAAGGATCCATTTGACCCACAGAAGAAAGCAAGTCTCTTCTGCCTGATATTCAAGGCCCTCTGAAGCTGCCTGTGCATCTACCTTTCTTTTGCACGACTCTCCAGAATGACCACTGATGTGTCTTTTTTTTTTTTAAATATATTTTATTGATTTTTTACAGAGAGGAAGGGAGAGAGATAGAGAGTTAGAAACATCGATGAGAGAGAAACATCGATCAGCTGCCTCCTGCACATCTCCTACTGGGGATGTGCCCGCAACCCAGGTACATGCCCCTGACCGGAATCAAACCTGGGACCTTTCAGTCCGCAGGCCGACGCTCTATCCACTGAGCCAAACCGGTTTCGGCACCACTGATGTGTCTTAAGTCAGGTTCCCCAGAATCAGACACTGAGACAAGGATCCATGTGCAAGTGACTTGTTAGGGAAGTGCCCCGGGGAGAAACCCAGTTTCAGCCTGGATGTGAGTTCTAACTCAAAATGTGTCCCGACTCCAGGCAAGGTGGCTGGACTTTCAAAACCTCCCACCAGTCACTCATTGACTCAGAGCTGCCCTGGCAGGATATGCATTCCCTGGCCCATCCAACCCTCTGCAGTGAAGGCAAAGCAGCTCAGAGCCACAGGGTCCTCACAGAAGAATCTAGGGCAGTGTTTCAACTTCCTAATGCCGCGACCCTT